AATATAAGTTTGTGTTGGGCTGATTAGTTGAGATGGATTGAGATAATAATGTTGTTTGTGGCTCATAGGAGGCTAATGGTGTTGAGGATGAAACCACATAGGATATATCTTCTGCAGCGGTCACCGTATGCCTGGCTTGCATGGCTCCGCAAGATTTAGAAGCTTTCAGATTAAACGTTAGAGAGCCGTTATTATCTAAGTCTTCCAAGTAAATAGGCTTAACCACCTGCCTACTTACATCATTCTCCTTATTAACTGCTTTGGATGCGTCTTTTAATAAGGCGGTGGCTGCATCGAATTTCCTTACTTTGCTTTCTGTTAAGGTCGTGTTTGGCCATCGAACTATATGTTTGTCAGGGACATGAAAAACATTTTTCATGACATTGTCTAAATAGTTTGTTATTAACGTTAATTCGCTTGATTCGTTCCTTATCTTATTGTACGGCAGAGTTCTTATTAAATCTAGTATCAAGAACCCGAAATTATCCATCAATTCATCTTTTTGTACAATATTTGCACATAGCAGTTTGATGTCATTATCACGAGAATCATTTAAACACGTTTTGATCACTTTTCTATATATATTCTCAACCTCTATATCTAATTGTAGAGATAATTTTGGCGTATATCTTCTGTGAATCGATTCTAGTATATCTAAACTGAACGCCTCCACCATTTTAGTAGGATAAGAGTTCGGTATGAGAACAAGGATTGATGATAATGATAATATTTCGTGGGTATTCGTTTCAACATATAGTCCTTTATCGTTAGCATATGATATAGCTTCATTAATATATTGTCTAAATTTAGCCGATATGTTAACATTGTCTAAGAAAACATCTAAATCAGAATTTAATGATGGTATGCGTGAAGAAACGTTAATAATAATAATCTTTTCATCGGCAAAAGGGTCTTCGGGAGCGCATGGAGTTGGAGATATGAATCCATCATGTTCTGAATCATCACTTTTATAACTTGAATTGATATATGGATCGCCATCTAATTCGTTGAATAAATCTTGTTCGTTATTTGATATTTCTACGTTAGCAATACTTGGACCCTTTTTGGATATAGAATAATGTCAGAGTCTTTACGGTCAATAAACAAAAAAATCATTGATTGATAAATGTGCTCTACTAACATTTGCCAACCGTTTTGGAGAGCTCTCTTTTGCGACATCTAGAAACCGCTTCGTAAGTCGAGAGATAGGTATAGTTTTTGCATTAACCGAGTTATTGGTGTCAAGTTCTGATTTTTTCTGGTCTTCCAACAATACATTTCCAACGTAATCATTTTCGTTTGAATACATAATGTAGGTTTTTTCACGGCGACTTTCAGAAATTTGGATCTGTTATATGTTAAACCGCTGCAAAATTGATTAAAGGAACTAGTCCATAAGATTTGTAACATACCCTATGAATTTTTTCAATGACACAAGACCAATCAGGTTGGTCTTCAACCATCTATATTTTGATAGTTTAGAAAATTGTTATTATAGTTTCGTAGTTTGAAATTTTTTATAATTTCTTCCTGTAACTAATTTATCAAAGCAGAAGATTCACAACAGCGTGGAATGAGGACGACACTCATGCTTGCAGTCTGGGACGAAACGAGACGCAAGTTTTCAACACCATCACTAGGGTGAGGACGACACTCATACTCGCAATCTGGGACGAAACGAGACGCGAGCTCCCTAAAATCAGAAAGAAGTTGGTACCTCCCTTGATTTTCATAATTTCTGCAGCCGAAATAAAACGTTTTTTCCACGTGCGATGCAGTTCCACACAGTTATTTGTTTTTGAAAGCCTAGCTATTGAATCAACGTTCAGGCGAACAAACTCAGAAAAGCGCAGGACAATTTCTTGTTCCAATGTCCACAGGAAGTACGGCTCAAGGACTGAAAATTCGGTATTGTATCGATGAGTAAATGTAAAAAACACGTCTGTTTCAGAAAACATGTACTTGCCATCGAATCCATACGGTTCTTTCTTTTGTTGGCTCATACTAGGAAGAGAGTAAACAAATTGATGGTACTGTACATAACACATCAGGTATTTCAGTAATTTGTGCCAGTAATACAAACTCCTAAAAAGAGAACAGCTAATCAATGTGTTCAAATTTTGGTCACTCGCATTTTGAAATCAAAAAATTATGCATTTCTAATTATTATATTACGTAATGATGAAATTTTAGTCACGTGCACGTTCTGCGGTAATATTTTCCGAACAAATTCTCGATTTTTCAGATACATAACTAATCAGAAAATAATAAAGGAAGCAAATGAAGTAAATGAAATGAATGATACTATCAAAGAGAGAGGGAGCACGTGGATCCTAGGCGAGTCCCAGCATAAAGTTATTTTTTTGCTCAGACTTTTTATAAATTTCTACATCTAACTTTTTTGCTAATTACGAGATTCTCAACCTCTATGTCGGGCCATATAAAGTATTAAGTTATGCAAGAAAACTTCACTATGGTTAAGTAATTTTGGTTAGGGTACTAATTCCAGAAAAATGAAACATGTCAAATTTCTACTTGTGCCCCATCTCACAAATTAGTTATGCATGATAAGCCTTGCTAGGTGATACAGATAAATTTCATATACGGAATTATTACGCTAATGAACGTGGATAAATTATGAAATTTTATTTATTATCGCTAATTCAGATTTATTTTTATTTAACGTTAATTATTTGAGAATTATCGCATTCACATCGCCTATATATTCCATCCGCTACTTTTTTGCACGTCTTACAATATAGATGTGAGTGGTGATCGCATTCGTCACAAACCTTACATCTGTAATTTCACCCTCTAAATCTACTTTTATTTCCAAACAACCTTCCGCTTCAATCTCCTTTCTCAACTCTAATCTTGCATCTATTCCAAC